TGTTAATATTCACGTGTATCTCTTTTATATGTTTGTTGTTGAACCTGGAACTAAGGTTTTTTTTTACGTAGAATATCCTACCAATGAAATTTTCAATGGAATGTAAATAGAAGCAGAACGCCAACATCTTTTTGTATTATTTCAAGTACCAAATAAACACGTTTCTTTGATGTCAAAGTAAGACATATGTGATTAGGTTTTGCCAGTAAAACATTAAAAGTAAAATTCAATCGTAAAATTACCGAGAACGGTCATATTTTACTCACGGCTTCTGCAACTAATACTCCACCGCCGCTGCGATGGACCCATCGCTTCTGCGAAAGCTATGGCCAGTGTGATTATGTCTTAATTTAACTTATTGTACTTATTATATTTAACTTGTTATATTTCCGATCATTGAAGATCGTTCAGCACGACATTATTGTTGTGTTTTCAGCACGACATTATTGTTGTGTTTGTGGTATTTTTTAGTTTTTACTTTTCAGCATTTTTCTACATGGGTGGTTCCAATATTCCTAAATCACCCTAAGGATATGTTGCCTGCTTTTTAAATTTTTCTTTTGACGTCTTATCTGTGATATGCAGGCTTCACAACCTCAGACCCCCTTTCAAAATTCCATTTTATTTTTTAGTTCCGCCCATTGTTTTCTCGTTTAGGGCACACACATTTTTTTTAATGGGGACCATACGCCGCTTTTTATGGAATGGCACTAACATGTCACATTGAAGGTTCCATGATACTCACCGTATAAACACATCTGCTGATGTATCTAAATTAAAAATTCACCATTTTTATGTTTAAATGTTGAATTCTGCTAAAGCCGGTGCTAGGGGGCGTGGACGGTAGTTTGCACTTGACAGTACCGTCTATGAACAGGCTCAATCAAACCGAGCCTTCAACATTTTCAATTTTGCCTTGTTAGGTAGGGATTCTTATTTTCTCTATTTTAGTAACACAAGTAATGTCATAGAGGAAAATAGCAAAACTTTACTACAAGGTTCAATGAACGTGTTATCTTATGACAATACTTATCATGCAAACATTTATACTAGTCACCTTTAACTATGTAATTAATCCTTTCTCCAGCATGTAAATATCACACCATTCTTTTCCGTTGTAAAATTACATGTATGAAATCCACGATTTTCACGTGCATGGACCCACCAACTCTCCCTACCAAAAGAAACTAAATAATCTTTGTAGAAGTCACTTAGTTGATCCTAATAGTTTATAATAAAACATATATTTGCGCAAAGAACTCGTTGATAGTAAAATACAATTGATTATACCATTATTGTTGATGTGTAACGAACTATTTCACGTTGCGAATTGTATATGTGCTTTGGCTATCGACTTGAGATTACAAGACGCATTATTTAAGCTTTTTGATAAATGTTTAGTATAAAACGAATAAATATTTAATTATCTCATAATTTTTTCCTACGTAAAAACACACTTTATTTATATTTTTATTTTACATTATTTTTTTATTTGCCTGTTAGTCATAATCAGAATTGATTGTTAAGCAGTATCATGTAGATGTATCTAATTTTGTTAAGGACACTAGCATGTTTCCTACTCGAACTCTTTATATAGCTTGCAGATTATATATTTGAGCCGTGTCATGACAAAACCAACATAATGGGCTGGCGACCAGCATGGATCCAGACCAGCCTGCGCATCCGCGCAGTCTGATCAGGATCCATGCTGTTCGCTATCAGTTTCTCTATTTGTAATAGGGTTTGTAAGCGAACAGCATGGATTCTGATCAGACTGCGCGGATGCGCAGGCTGGTCTGGATCCATGCTGGTCGCAAACCCATTATGTTGGTTTTGTCATGACGCGGCTCATTTGTCTTATGTATCTCGTCGCTTGAAAAACGTTTTGTTCTAAGTGCCAATTTGTTGTTTTTGAGAAAAAAGCATTTAAAGATTTAGTATTGCATAACTTTTATATTTATTGTCGGATTTTGAAAATTTAAAAACTACTAAACGTGGTGTCAGGAGAACAACTCAATATCGTTAAAGATATGTGGATTTTGATATTTCCTTGCTTAAAAACCTAAAAAAACATTTGGAGATAGAACAGTCCTTGTAACTTTTTCGCAAAAATTGTTAAAATCAGAGTGTTCAATGTGACTTAGAACATTATATCTTTTAAGTTGAATTGATTTATATCATATAAAACAGTACGTTTTATCTTTAAAAGGCTGACAAAAATGCTCTCGGCTAATTATCCTTTGATAAGTTGACTTTGACACTAGTCTACACTATTTCTTAGACCATATGTATCTTACTACATGAACTATGACATTCGAAATCTTATTAAAATCCTTTAATCCATTACATTATTAAATGACATTTATGCAAATAATTTAAGTAAATAAAGATAAATTACCCACATAAATTTTGTAAACATTTTATATATTTTTATAACTTTGGCCACATTTAAAGTGGTTCAATGTCTGGAAAAAGAAAGTTATAGCCGCAAACCGGAAAAGAAAACTTTCAAATTTTCTAGAATGCTTAGAAAATCTTTCAAGACTTTTTTTTATGAAAATTCAAAAGATGGTCAAATTCAAATTCCTTCCAAAAGTATGAAAAAGTAGTAATTATTTTGTTATGCGCTTTACATGTTCTGTGTGTTGATAAGAAGTTCTTATAATTGAAGGTATGTAAAAAAATGTTTCTATAACTTAAATAGGCAATGAAAACATATCTGCTAGAAAAGACCTCAAAGGTGGAGCAGGCATGACAAATATTTGAAAAATGTCATATTTAAAGATTGTTCGTGTACTAAAACATTACAAACATAATGCGATATATAATATTCATTTAGAAATTCAAAGTCAAATTACAAGACAAACAAAATATACGTATAAGAATATTTTTTCTTCCTTCTGTCTTTGGTATAAAATGTGTTTACTTTAAAACAATCTTTTAGTTATATATTCTAACACTCACGTGATTTTGTCACTATAGACTACGGCCTTCGTGGTCAATTCCTACGCATCAAAACTCCAAACCGGTGTTAAATAGCCGATATACACCTCTCAGGCCGATGTTATTTCTTAAACATTAACGCATTCGAAAACATATATTATATGTAAACGTATAATATCTATAAATTTTCTTAAAGGACTTTTTTGCTTTTATCTTAATCTCTCAAAAGCCTGAGTTCTGTTATAGTTTCCAAAATATTCCACATTGGTCAGTAACCTCAACCATCTTATGCTTCTGTTTCATATTGACAATGAGTACAGTCAATTTTTTAAACTCATATGTGTCTGTTATAAAGATAAATAATTGGTTTCTGAGACAGAAAATACTTACGTTAAAGAACATATAACAAATTTTATTTTTTACGAATTTGTTTGATGAAATTGTATGATCACAGTTGTTTCTATCCGAAAATACACATCCGAAATTACTTTCAAATCATGATCAGTTTTGCTTGTTGTTTAATCACATGCAGTAAATTTACAGGACTTAATACTAAAATGTCAATGATTGGAAGAAATAAATGAATACATAATATCATTCAATACTTATATTTAGTATTAATATATTAAATAAACAACAAACCATCTAACTCAAAATGTTTCGTACAACATGGCGGATGTCCTGCTATCACGTGATTTGATGCTATGTTTTGATACGATAATTTTGGATTTAGAACAGTATGTTGCACATATCCCACAGGTCACGTGACATTTATCGATAATATGATTAGTCCAGTAAGTTAGAACAGTCTATTTATCAAGACATAGTAAATTTGTGGAGATAGAACAGGATGCTTTCGTTGTAATTTATTAATGAAGCTCTGAAGCACTAATATAACATGCCAAGGAGATAGAACAGTCCATTACGGACAAAATTGTGTATTTAACTTGTTTTTGGAAAATTTGGAGATAGAACATTACAGTTTTCAAGCGACGATCTGAGACTAATCAAACTCATGTATTTCTGTATTACTGTACATTTAATGGTTATCTTTAAGGAATATTTAGCCTATCAAATTTAATCTTTTATTTAAGTCTCACCATTGTACAATGCCTAACATCAATATTTTTATACATATACATTGCACAAAGCCATTCTAAAATAGAATTGTAAGAGACTATTAAGCATTATTTACGGACTTTATTACATTACCAGGTTGAAATGATGCATTGGTGTAAAAATGGTTTAAAAATCCACCACCACTTGAGTCTATGAGTCTAGTAGTAGACAGATTACCAATTATCAATGTTAAAATATTAATGTCTATTGTGCTATTGTTTATTTTCTTTTTAACATACAATAGTAATCATTTGAAAGTAATATGATATAAACTTTGACTTATATTCTTCAATAAAAGTTTAGTTTTTTTCTTTATAGTAATATATACTAGAACAAAATCACCAGATGAATGTTGTGCGTATATCAACTTTACACTGAAAATACATTTTAAAATACGTTTATAGAAAAACTCAAAAAATATATTTCAGGATTTCTTAAATAAGCGGCTGTAAAGATGAAAATATCACCTTCCTGACAAATTTCCAGAATATTTGGATCAAAACTGTGTTAGCAAGCTTTTTCTATTTTTATCTCCTGTGACCTAGTTTTTGACCGGAGATGACCCATCTTCAAACTTGACCTAGAAATCATTAAAACAACCTTCCTGACAAATTTCCAGAATATTTGGATCAAAACTGCAGCCAGTAGAGTGTTAACAAGCTTTTTCTATTTTTAGCTCCTGTGACCTAGTTTTTGTCCAGAGATGACCCATCTTCGAACTTGACAGTGCAGAGTAATGAGTCTTATGCAATGCACTTCGGGTTATTGAAAGAAGCATGCAAACCAAGTTTGGAGTCAATCCAACTTATATTGACTGAGTTATGCTCTGAACAAGCCTTAGGGGACGCCAACGCCGTAGACATCAAAGCAACACAAAAAATTGGGGTTGTGAGAATGTTACACTGATAACAACAGATCATTATGTTGATAAAAAACAAATAATTCATCATTCTTAAGTGACTGCCTTTTATTCTTATTGACTCACACAACTATATTTTATAATTTAAGCAAAAATTGTACAAATGAACATAAAATAACATGATTCTACCATAACTGTAAATTAAAAAAATATGACAAGAAGGAAACAAATGAAAAAAGAACATCTGAAAATGATATTGGAAAACAATTCAAGATTCTAGGAGACAAGAAGCTCCAACTTAATTCATGATTTGTTTTTTTTTAATCACACTTATTCATTCATGATAAATAGGTTAAACGTATTAAATTATGTATTTTTTTATAAGAATAATTTTTTTGAAGCTGATATTAATGAATATATTGCTGCCTTTTATACTCATAAGAGAAATATACATCTATCACAGACAAAACTTATGCTGTTATCAAATCATATAAATGCAGTAGTTACCAAATAAACAAGAGCTGTCGGTAGGACAGCAACGTTCGACTATTCTTAGTGCTTGATAGTAAAAAAAGCCTTGATTAAAAGGTAAAATTTTCTCTGTAAAGAAAAAGGCAAATTTTTCTTTAAATCCATATTACAGTTATAGGCATTGGAGAGAGTCCTATTATGCTGCCAAAGAAGAGTATAAAATTTCAACATGTTTCAAAGCCTTATGAACTTTGAAAATATTTGAGGTATTACAAAAACTTTAACGTAAATTCCAAGTCAAAAAAGGGGCATAATTCTGTCAAAATGCTTGATAGAGTTACCTCCTCCTGTTTACAGGTTGGGGTCATGATGGTGAACAAGTGTGCAAAGTTTCAAAGCCATATGTCAATGGACTTTGAAAATATTTGAGGTATTACAAAAACTTTAACGTAATTAAAGTCGAAAAAGGGGCATAATTCTGTCAAAATGCTTAATAGAGTTACCTACTCCTGTCTACAGGATAACCATAGATCCCCCCCACATCATTTGACTTTCACAGAGGTATGTTTAAATACTTATAAACATATATTTCATATAGGTTAAGTGTTATATTAATAAGTAATATAAATAAAAGAAGTATTTTAACTAACAATTACCACAAATATATGACTGACATGAATGTTTGACAATTTACATCAGATGTCACTGTGACCTTGACCAAATTTTAACAAACTTATGCTTATCTTTTCTCAAATTATAACTTGGACAAGGATTTTACATAAAATATCACTGTAACCGACTTAATACTTTGACAACTGGCACGGGCAATGTTCCTACCAAGTTGCATAAACCATGTTGGGCTTGTTTTAGGGATTCTGCTTTTCTCTATTTTATTCTTCCTCAATTTTTTTTATCAGACTAGGAGTTTGTCACTGTGACCTCAACCTTTAACTTAATTAAAAGGGTTATCACCCGGCCAAGGATAATACGTATTCCTACAAAATCACATATTTTGTCCCCATCTAGCCTTGTTTTACTTTTTGAGAGTCTAAAATTCATATCAATCGAAAAACAAAGTTCTGTCAAGATGTCAAAAAATTGTGCTGTGACATAATGAGGTCATTAAACATGGATGAGAACAATACTGATTCTTTTTGACCTATAAATATTTAGCTATTGCCTCACTAAATATAATTTAGACAGCTCTGTACTTGTCAAATATAATTCAACAAAGTACAATAACCTCATAATATTTTAGAATCAGTTGATAAATAGAGTGGGGCAGTATTTTCATATTTTAGACAGTTTTTGTATTTAACTGTTATAATAGTCAATCTTTTGAAATATTTAATTAACTAATCAACTAGACAACGAAATGAGTATAATGTCACTTTAATGATATTGACTAGTTTCCGAGAACAAAAAAGTGTCATCATGTAAATACATAACGTCTACTCTACCACATAAAACGCTGAACTTCGTCTTCATGTTTCCATCTAAATGACATATTTACAAATAGATACACTGTCAACACATTGACTACTATGGCCAGTAAAATTTCATGAAAAAGTCCAAGGGCTGTACCATGACGCATGTTCATTCTAAATATAAGGTACGGCAGTATAAAATAACGATATTCCAGTAACTTCTGCGGAACTAATGCCGCTACAAGGCAAATACTATATACAAGTTTCCAGTATATATCTCTAAACTTAATCTCATCTAAAACACTCCAGAAAAAATAGAAGTATGCAGGAATTAAGATATACTTAACATATTCATGTCTACGGTATATTTTCCGCCATATGTAAAATGTAAAGTGTCTGTTATCAGCCAAGAGGTATTTATGCTCGTAGGTAAAATAATGTATCATGAGGAAAGCTACACCAAAGAATGACAACATAAATAATGGATGTCGTATACAGAATTTGAGAAATTCCCAAACTTTGTACGGTGAACACAAATGGAATAGAGAAAAAAAGTTTGTCATTGTTAAGAAATAAAGCAACTGTGGAAAATGCAATACTGCCACATGTTGTGTTCTATCACCAACAACAATACCTTTGTTAAGAATGATAAATATTCCAAACCCTATCCCAACTAATACATATGCCCATACATTTTTTACGATATCAGAAAACAGTGAGGACAATAAATTTCTTTTTGCCTTTGCACAATCAGATACTACTGTAAAAGTCACCTTTAAAAGTTCTAAGTCATTCAAATTTTCCAACTTTATGTCTTTTTTCTCACAAATTTGTTTCAACCATAAACTTAATTCCTTTCGCACAGCTAATCCCGCCATAAAAATTACCCAGATAATGTTGGTTTGTCGAAACAGTATAGATGCTGCGCCGAAAATGGCGGCCATTTTATGGTTGCCATGGAGACAGAAGAGGTACATCATGAGAACAAAAAATGTCGATCCTTGGTCAGTGTAGTACAGAAAGGTGAAAAAATACAATACTGGGAGTAAGCTGAGCGCTACTGTTGTCATAGCAATTTTGATGCCATCTGGATCCTAGAAATATACAACAAGAGGGCCATGATGGCCCTAAGGTCGCTCACCTGTATGTAGGCCCCCGGAGCGGGGCCAGTTTAAACCCCAGGGCTTTTATTTGAACAAACTTGAAAGACACCTATAAGAAGACCTTTCATGATGTACACACTTATAATGAAAAACAATGATCTGCCCTCCCCTACCCCCGGCAGGGCCAATTTTAACCAAGGGCTTTTATTTGAACAAACTTGGTAGACACCCATAAGAAGATGTTTCATGCTAAACATCTAAGCTGTAGCTCATTGTGTTTTTTTAAAAAAGATTTTTTAAGTTTTTACTATACACTAAAGTTAAAAACAATGACAACCCTGGGGCGGGGCCAGTTTTGACCCCAGGGCTTTTATTTGAACAAACTTTGTAGACACTTACTAGAACATGTTTCATGCTTAATATCTAAACTCTAGCTATTTGGGTTTTTTCAAAGATGTTTTTTAAGTTTTTCCTATACACATATAAGGAAAATCAATGACCCCCAGGGCAGGGCCAATTTTGACCCCGGGGCTTTTATTTGAACAAACTTTGTAGACACTCACTAGAAGATGTTTCATGCTTAATATCTTAACTCTAGCTCTTTGAGTTCTTTAAAAGAAGATTTTTTAAGTTTTTACTATATACATGTACATATAGGGAAAATCAATAACCCCCTGGGGCGGGGCCAATTTTGACCCCAAGGCTTTTATTTGAACAAACTTGGTAGACACCTATTAGAACATGTTTCATGCTAAATATCTTAGCTCTAGCTCTTTGAGTTCTTTAAAAGAAGATTTTTTAAGTTTTTACTATATACATATAGGGAAAATCAATGACCCCCTGGGGTGGGGCCAATTTTGACCCCAGGGCTTTTATTTGAACAAACTTGGTAGACACCCATTAGAACATGTTTCATGCTAAATATCTTAGCTCTAGCTCTTTGAGTTCTTTAAAAGAAGATTTTTTAAGTTTTTACTATATACATATAGGGAAAATCAATGAACCCCTGGGGCAGGGCCAATTTTGACCCCAGGGCTTGTATTTGAACAAACTTGGTAGACACCCATTAGAACATGTTTCATGCTAAATATCTTAGTTCTAGCTCTTTTGGTTCTTTAAAAGAAGATTTTTTAAGTTTTTACTATATACATATAGGGAAAATCAATGACCCCCTGGGGCGGGACAATTTTGACCCCAGGGCTTTTATTTGAACAAACTTTGTAGACACTCATTAGAACATGTTTCATGCTAAATATCTTAGCTCTAGCTCGATGAGTTCTTTAAAAGAAGATTTTTAAATTTTTACTATATGCATACAGGGAAAATCAATGACCCCCTGGGGCGAGGCCAATTTTGACCCCAGGGCTTTTATTTGAACAAACTTGGTAGACACTCATTAGAAGATGTTTCATGCTAAACATCTTAGCTCTAGCTCTTTGGGTTCTTAAAAAAAGATTTTTTAAGTTTTTACTATATGCATATAGGGAAAATCAATGACACACTGGGGCGGGGCCAATTTTGACCCCAGGGCTTTTATTTGAACAATCTTGGTAGACACTCACTAGAAGATGTTTCATGCCAAATATCTAAGCTCTAGCTCTTCGGGTTCTTTAAAAGGAGATTTTTTAAGTTTTTACTATATGCATATAGGGAAATCAATAACCCCCTGGGGCGGGGCCAATTTTGACCCAAGGGCTTTTATTTGAACAAACTTGGTAGACACCCAATAGAACAGGTTTCTTGCTAAATATCTTAGCTCTAGCTCTTTGAGTTCTTTAAAAGAAGATTTTTTAAGTTTTTACTATATACATTTAGGGAAAATCGATGACCCCCTGGGGCGGGGCCAATTTTGACCCCAGGGCTTTTATTTGAACAAACTTGGTAGACACTCACTAGAAGATGTTTCATGCCAAATATCTAAGCTCTAGCTCTTTCGGTTTTTTAAAAGAAGATATTTAAAGTTTTTTCTTTTGGTTGCCATGGCAACCAGAGTTCTGCATGGAATTAAATTCTTTGAACAATTTTTAAAGGTGACCACCAAAGGAACATTCCTGTGAAGTTTGGATGAAATTGGCTTAGTGGTTTATGAGGAGATGTCATTTAAAGTAAAAGTTTACGGACGGACGACGGACGGACGGACGGACGGACGACGGACGGACGCCGGACGAAAAGCGATCACAAAAGCTCACCCTGTCACTTTGTGACAGGTGAGCTAAAAAGGTTGTTTAATTCTCAAAGAACTGCTGTTGACAAATTTGAATAAAAGAATTAAAGAAACTTATTAGCATGGTAATGCAAATAAAATCGAAAACAATGATTAAATAAATATCTAAAAATTAAACATAATAATTCAAATATGTTCAACTTGTCATTTACTCCCTCACTTGAACGACAGTTAAGAATATTGGTTACTATAAACAAGAGGGCATGATGGCCCTGAAGTCGCTCACCTGTATATAGGCTCCCGTAGCGGGGCCAGTTTTAACCTCAGGGCTTTTATTTGAACAAACTTGGTAGACACCCATTAGAACATGTTTCATGCTAAACATCTAAGGTCTAGCTGGTCAAGTTTTTTCTTTACACATATAGTTAAAAACAATGACACACCTGGGGCAGGGCCAGTTTGGACCCAAGGGCTTTTATTTGAACAATCTTTGTAGACACTTACTAGAAAATGTATCATGCTTAATATCTGAACTCTAGCTATTCAGACTTTTCGAAGAAGATTTTTAAGTTTTTGCTATACACATATAAGGAAAATCAATGACCCCCGGGGTGGGGCAAATTTTGACCCCAGGGCTTTTATTTAAACAATCTTTGTAGACACTTACTAGAAGATGTATCATGCTTAATATCTAAACTCTAGCTATTTGGGTTTTTTCAAAGAAGGTTTTTAAGTTTTTGCTATACACATATAAGAAAAATCAATGTCCCCTGGGGAGGGGCCAATTTTGACCCCAGGGCTTTTATTTGAACAAACTTTGTAGACACTCACTAGAAGATACTTCATGCTTAATATCTAAACTCTAGCTATATGAGTTTTTTCAAAGAAGATTTTTTAAGTTTTTGTTATACACATTTAAGGAAAATGAATGACCCCGGGGCGGGGCCAATTTTGTCCCCAGGGCTTTTATTTGAACAAACTTGTTAGACACTCACTAGAAGATGTTTCATGCTTAGTATCTAAACTCTAGCTATTTGGTTTTTTTCAAAGAAGATTTTTTAAGTTTTTGCTATACACATATAAGGAAAATGAATGACCCCCGGGGCGGGAACAATTTTGACCCCAGGGCTCTTATTTGAACAAATTTGGTAAACATCCATTAGAATATGTTTCATGTTAAATATCTTAGCTCTAGCTCTTTGGGTTCTTTAAAAGAAGATTTTTTAAGTTTTTACTATATGCATATAGGGAAAATCAATGACCCCCTGGGGCGGGGCCAATTTTGACCCCAGGGCTTTTATTTGAACAAACTTGGTAGACACCCATTAGAAGATGTTTCATGCTAAATTTCTTAGCTCTAGCTCTTTGGGTTCTTTAAAAGAAGAATTTTTAAGTTTTTACTATATGCATATAGGGAAAATCAATGACCCCCTAGGGCGGGGCCAATTTTGACCCCAGGGCTTTTATTTGAACAAACTTGGTAGACACTCACTAGAAGATGTTTCATGCCAAATATGTAAGCTCTAGCTCTTTGGGTTTTTTAGAAGAAGATATTTAAAAAAATTTCTTTTGGTTGCCATGGAAACCAGAGTTCTGCATGGAATTAAATTCTTTGAACAGTTTTTAAAGGTGACCACCAAAGGAACATTCCTGTGAAGTTTGGATGAAATTGGCTTAGTGGTTTATGAGGAGATGTCATTTAAAGTAAAAGTTTACGGACGGATGCCGGACAGACGGACGCCGGACGAAAAGCGATCACAAAAGCTCACCCTGTCACTTTGTGACAGGTGAGCTAATAAAAACTAGAAATGTGTCCATAGGACACGGGTGCCCCCACCGCGCCACTGTTCTGTCAATCTTTTTACTAAGTCAAGGGAAATAACTCATAACAAATACTGGATAAATCCACAAGCGAAACCCCAGGTGCAAATCTAAATATGCTGAGCAACCTGCCAAAAAGGTTTAATGACTCTATGTCAAATCCTTTTTGAGTAACTTGCGACACAAGTTGAAAATTGCAAAAAAATTCTAAGTCAAGGGCAATAACTCTAAAAATACTAAATAAATCCAGACGAAAATACCTGGTGCTCAACTGCACATGCTGATCAATATTCCTGTGAAGTTTCATGACTCTAGGTCAAATACTTTTTGAGTTACATGCGACACAAGTTGAAAATTGCAAAACTTTACTAAGTCAAGGGCAATAACTCTGAAAATACTAAAAATATCCAGACGAAAATACCCAGGTGCACAACAACACATGCTGATCAACATTCCTGTAAAGTTTCATGACTCTAGGTCAAATACTTTTTGAGTTACATGCGACACAAGTTGAAAATTGCAAAATTTTACTAAGTCAAGGGCAATAACTCTGAAAACACTAAAATTATCCAGATGAAAATACCCAGGTGCACAACTACACATGCTGATCAACATTCCTGTAAAGTTTCATCACTCTAGGTCAAATACTTTTTGAGTTACATGCGACACAAGTTGAAAATTGCAAAATTTTACTAAGTCAAGGGCAATAACTCTGAAAATACTAAAAATATCCAGACGAAAATACCCAGGTGCACAACTACACATGCTGATCGACATTCCTGTAAAGTTTCATGAATCTAGGTCAAATACTTTTTGAGTTACGTGCGACACAAAAGTGAACGGACGGACGGACGGACGTACAGACGGACGGACAAGGGTAAATCTAAATGCCCGCCACTAAAGTAGGGGCACAAAAAGGAAAAATTACTAAAAACACATACAAATACTGGATTATGAAGTTTTTTCAGAATTGTGTAAATCAGATAGAAGTTCCCAAAGCTGAAAAAAATATTGGTGGCTCTCAACCAGAACGTTGTACACACTTCAAGAACTGGTATATTCAAGATGGCAGACACTGGCTTCAGTACACCCACTGACATCATGTATAATCCTGGTAGAGTGGTGATCATTGGGTCCCACTGAAGTAAAATAAAAACAGAATTTCAATCAGCTTATAACCTAAATAAATAAATAAATAGAGGATATTCAAGTTTTTTCTATAAATACATGATTTATTTTCATTGAGTGGTATGAAAATAAATATTTCATGAGTGGCGGTAGCCACAAGTGAAATATGGTAATTTTCATGCCACAAGATGAAAATAAATCATGTATGTATAGAAAAAACTTGAATTTTCTGTTTATTATATACATTTTTCTCTTTCTGGACATTAAATTTTAAAAGACTTTCACTTAAATTTTGAGTACTGGCAGAATTTAAAAGAAAGTAGTCCGGCAAGACACCAGTGAAAATACGGAAAATATGTTTCACTGCAGTGAAAAATAAATTTTTACAGTGAAAAATTAATACGGAAAATGAAAATACGCATTTTATTTCATCAATATTTCTCAATATTTCATTTAAAAGTATATAATAAATAAGAGACATCTGCAGGTTTATTTTACTTCTACCAAACTGTATTTTGCCGACTTTTGAATTTGGAACAATCCATTCAAAACATCAAAATACAAAATTTGAGCCGAGTCAACAATTTGCAGCCTACACAGACTGGTCTTAAAAAATCAGATATTAATGGATAACTAGTTCACAATCCATCCATTAACAAATTACAACCATCTAGTCACAAGCACATTGACTTTTGACATACAAAGTGACAATCTTGTGCTGATACATTGTCTTAACATGCATTATTTTTTAAATTCATCCATAAATACAAGGATTGTTGATTGAACAGGAACTTCAATGAAATATTTCCTTTCATGAAAAGTAAGACCCTGACCTTTGAGCTACATGCCTTGGTCTTATGCGAGACATATCAGTTCGAAATATTAGACATTTATGAAGACTATGCATTCACAATAATAATATGAGTCTGGACATACAAGTGTGCAGAACAGACTGCCATTACTTTGGGATTATGGATTTGTTCTTTGATCTTTTAGGGAAATTACTATTTTAACTGACTGTTTATATTGCTGCCCTCTCTTTTCACCCAAATATATCGGTCATACGACTAACCAAAATACCGAAACACTACCGGAATACCCGATAATAGATATAAGACAGGCAAAATACCCATTAATGATAGATTTAGGAAGCTGTAATACTCCCGATATGTTTATGGAGCAGGAATACCGCAGGTTTTAACCAAAATTACATATCTTAGAGTAATTATTGCTTTGAAATTGTGTTTTAAAACAGACTGTTGACTGGAAAACACACTTAATCACTCCAAGTTCTTGTACAACTTGTACATGACCTAGAAAAAACGACAGTTCAAATGACTGAGAAGTGGTTTATTACAAACCCACTATAGACTTGTAGAGACTCACAGACAACTTGGAAAGACAAAACTGTTATAATTTGCAATTTAAAATTGCAGATACATGTACAAACGACAATCTGCAAGTAACTTGTCTTTGTTAATAACTTAAAAAAAACACAGCAAATTATTCGTACCATACAGTACACACTGACAGTTAGGCTAATACGTGAATTATGACACGACTTATTTAATTGAGTGATTATTGAGTTATTACACCATAACTATCAGGTATTTCGGCTTTCTTATATCTGTTATCGTGTATTCCGGGGGTATTCCGGTAGTATTTCGGTTAGTCATGTGACCCAATTATATGAATGTGCCCCTGAACCATTGGATGGTTATCTGGATGGACAGACATTATTTTATTCAAAAACTACATAATATTATACATCTACATCATACTGCTACAAAATTGTTGAATGATTACACTAAGCAGGTGGTTTGTCTGGGAATAGCTATTAAAACAAGAAAATTTAATGATAATATACAAAATAGTAGATATAAACAATTTAAAAGAAACTTCAAGAATAAGATAAAAACAGTTTGACTTAGAAACTGGTAGAAGAGATGCAGCTGCTCAGAAAAGATATCTAACTTTGGCTAACTTGCAAGGGCACCTATAACTGACACTATGTGCCAAAGTCAGATTATTTTCATCCTGGGTCAGAATCTAGCTTTTAGAGGTGACATATTGCCAAGACACAAAATAGCACAATATCTTGTGGCGCAGTACATTTAGTTGGACTGACTTGCTGATAGACTGTTCCTTAGTCCAACTTGTACTACATATTGAGATAATTAAATATTGCGCAATTTTGTGTATGGGCAATACATGTATCAGCAAGATCCTGACCCAAAACAAAAATATCTCAGAATCTAGCTTTGGTACGTCAAAATATTTTGACTAACCATTCCACTGATACTTCTAGGGAAAATGAGTAGGAGTGATACATGTACTGTAGTGTGTCCATTAATATGATATCAGGTAGTTCTGTTGGGAGCCAATGGTGCTGGTCAACCCTCACAACATTGTATTGTATTTGAATATGAGTATTAGGAGAGTGACAGAGCTGATGTTATGTCTCTTCTCTAGTGTTTGCCAGTTTTGATATTTTATCATATTAGAAATACGACTGGTAAAATTGTTCTCCAGACTTGCTCAATTTTATGGGTTTTTTAAAAAATATTTCTGCCATTGATGCCAAACTGTGGAACAGTATTCTAACAGTTCTAACTGCCAATAGTGGGTAGTCAGACTATTCTCTCCCTTACCAGTTCCTCCCCCGACGTTTCCTCCCTGACGGTTCTCTCCCTATTTTGGGGGAGAACCGTCTGCATATTTGCAAATAAGCAGACAGTTCCTCCCTATTCTTATTTTTATTATTACATTATTATTAAAGTATTTAGATGATAAATAAATGGGTATGTTTATTATAAATTGATATAAATTAGAAAAAAAAAGATTTTATTGAAGTGTTTAGATGTTAGATAAATTGGTAAGATTATTACAAATTGATATAAATTAGATAGAAAAATACTTTAATGAAGTATTAAGATGTTTAATTCAAGTTTCAATTTTGTTAGCATCATCAGCAACAATAAATGGGTAAGTTTATTGTAAATTGATATAAATTAGAGAAAAAAATATTTTATTGAAGTATTTAGATGTTAAACAAATTGGTAACTTTATTATCAATTGATATAAATTAAATTAGATTTTTTTTAAGCATATTAGTTAATTATTCTGATTTTTTTTATGTATACTTTTTAATGCGTTTAGTCATGAAAATAATTAATGAATAATTTTCTTGATTAGTGGCGAAGTTTTATTACTTTCAGTTTTAGGACTGTAGATTTCTATTTCTTTGCCACACTGGAATTTATTTTATTTTAAGTAAAACACAATAATTTCTTGTTAACTTTCTTTATTTTATAAATCCAATTATTTTATTTTATTTTACAGATGATATTCCTTAATAATCCTCACATGTAATTTTCTCTTAACACAACTAAACTCAACTAAACTAATCTCAAACTAATAAACCCGGTTTCCAATTTCATTCCCTTTATATAGGTAACAATTAACTTGAAAATAGCATGAAACTCGTGATACATGAAATATTTAAGTATCTACTCCGACGGATTCTGATGGAGTTCTTTCAGGTTCCGACGGAGTCTTGACTCAACCGGTCATCAACGGACTCCGATAACTTAATTGTATATATACACTCGCTATTTGCGACACTCCCCACCAAAGCGAAATAAACAAAGCATTGCAATAACTTCAAAGTTTTAAGTTCAAATTAAAGTGTTGAAATTTAAACAATATTTATCCTGTATAATCTTATTATGTAATAAGAACATTTTCAAGTATTCAGATATTATACAACCGTTAATATTCATCTATCATATGTAAATTTGATATTATACTAGTAATAACTTATTACAAAATCATTTCAATCAAAATGTTTTCTAACAATATCATTTCCAAGTCAATATATACAGAAATTGTAAAATATACAAAATAAGATCAATATTTTCATGGCAGTCTCAAATTCTTGTGCTCATATTGAAAAGCAACACCAGTCTTTTTGACATAATTAAACACACGAACACATTTTTTTAGTCTATTTGTCAAACTCAAAATAGTCACATTCAATATTCTCTCCTAAATCGTATTCTTGTCCTTGACGTATACATAACCTTTGTCTAAATGTAAAGTTCCACACTTTGGTTTTGTATTGAGACGTGGCTAGTTCGGGTTGTTGATATTCTGGGTCACTGTCTCCTCCACTAGATTCTTCGTCACTTGAAATAATAACCATATCTTCATCAATAACGTTATTATTGATAGCGTCGTTGTTACTGCCGTCGTCGGAAAGATCTGTGTCTTTACTATACAAACAACAGTTGTTATTTTCATCAACAATACTTTCAGACGTCGAATTTTCTGTGTTTTGATCATAATGACTGTCAACGTCGACGTCAATATTATCTCCTTCGGAGAAACTTGTTACGACACTATAACCGTCCTCCTTCTCACTATCACTTTCAGTTTCACTGTTTTTAATTTCTGTATTTTGTCCAGAATCCTTTTGGTTGCCATTTATTCCGTTGATGTTAACGTTGAAGTTAACGTCACTTATTGAGCCACAAATATCATTCTGACGTTCACTACCACTATTGTTTATTTCAATTGGAACTTCAACATCCTTGCACTTAACACTTGCCTGACAATCATTTACGTCTACGTCTCTGACGTCAGTAGAAATCATACTGACTGTTGTTTGTTTCATCAAGCATGTTCAAATCAAAACTGTCTAAAACTGGCCCAAAGTCGTTGTGTGTGTCGTTGTATGACAATAAATCTAATATAGAATCATCGTCGCTGACGTCATCGTAGTATGAGTTCTGTGAATACGCGTTTCCTCTGGTGGCTGATATAGCAGATTCACGCGACTTCAATGATGTGTAGCCATGTTTTAGTATCAAATGTTTGCACAAATATCCCCGACGAATGAATTTGGATGTGCATTCCTCAACAGGACAATTCCAATGTTCAACCTCTCTGTGTCGTTCTTTAACATGTCATAGTAGATTTCTCTTATACTTATACATCTTTTGACAAGTAT